GCTTTCGGAATGTGCTCCAGCGTCACGGCCGTGGGGCGGATGATGCCGGAGAGGCGGATGACGGCAAAGCCCTGGGACCCACGGAACGCCCAGCAGTTCCCGGGGTTGACGTCTGGCTACAAGCGCGGGAGCGAGACACCAACAGTATCACCATTGATGCCGGTTTTTCTCCCCTCCCCCGACATCAGCCCGGCCACCTGCTCGGAGTGACAGCCCAATAAAACCCACCAATCCCACCAGCCAGCCCCCCACCCGGCAGGGTCTCGCCCCGAGGGTGCCCACCTGCAGGATGACGCGGGGGGACTGCGAGTGGTACCACAGGGGGATGCCAAACAAGCTCAGCAGCGCCGTCCGCGTCTCGTAGGTCTCCGAGCAGCGGGTGTTGATGACGCTGGCCCCTGGCACGGAGAGGGGACGGCAGCAGGTAAAGCTGCAGGCCAGCACCCTGCGGTCCCCTCCCCAGGACGGCTGGCTCGTCCCGGGTGGGCGAGAGCCCCCCATCACCTACCTGCCGACTCCAGGGCGTAGTCCACCATCCCCACGCGGTCCTCGCTGTAGCGCTTCAGGGCCTGGCCCACGATGAGGTGCACTTGCTGCAGTGGGAGCAGAGGGCACAAAAGGGGTGAAGGGCGAGGGTGGGCATCCTGCCCCCCAGCAACCTCCACCCCGCGGGGATGGGGAGGGCCCAAGGGCCTTCCAGCAAAATGGCCAAGCAATGAATCACCGTGGCAAAAACGAGAGGACACGTGTTTGGCTCGAAAGCCTTGTCAGAGGTTGCTAAAAATAGCCCGAGGAGAGGAGCCGTGCAATGACGGAGCAGCGCCCAAGCACGCTGCGCTCGCCTGTCCCCATCCTGAAAGAGGGGCTGGCCCCAGGGGAGGAGGGGTATCCCCCAGCAGGTACCAGACACCAACTGACAGCCCACCCAGACCTCCCCAGCATCATCTGCTGGTCCCTTCTGCCTCATCCGGCAGGATCAGTGGGAGTTCCCTCCACCCAGAGAGAAGTGAGCCAGCCGGAGCATCCTTCTGGAGCCAAACCCAGCCCCAGGAGCTGGGACCCCGCAGCACCGCTGTGGGTCTGAACTTTATGGTGTGCACCGAGCTTGCGCAGACTGCAGGCACTGCTAATCCCAGCCTGATCCCTCCCCTCCACTACCTCCGCAGGGAATTGCCAACAGCTCTTTCCAAATCAGGCAGGCTCATTTTTTTCCCTTGGTGTCATTCTGCTGAAATGCTTTGCCCCAAATAACCCAGCGGCACTGCTGAAGGATGGGATAAAAAGGACACTCAAGCCGTGGAAACCCCACGGGCACCTGCCCCGAGTTCTGGGTGAAAGATGCCCAAGCAGAAACGCGGGGTTTGAGACAGCCGGGCCCTGTGGGCTTGTGGGTACCACCCCACCGTGACCCCTTCCAGGGCCAGGCGCATGCACAGCCCAGGGGAGGCTGGCTGCAGAGAAGGGATGGAGGAGGTTCAGGGATGCTCTTGCCAGGTGGGATGTGAGCCCAGGATCGGAGTCCCAGCTGTAAGGGCTGTCCCCACGGCTCTGCCCATCTGCCAGGCACGTGTGCCCGCCCCCCCGTACACACACAATAGGGCACAGCCCCCAATCCCACACCTGCGGTTGCCTACACGTCCCCAGGGATCAGGCCAGCACTCACCTCCTCTGTCATCCCTGCGGCTCCCCCTTGCCGCAGGGCCACCCCGATACCAGCCTGAGCATCCCGTGCCAACAGCCTCTGGTCCTCCAGGACTTTGGCCAGGATCTTGCGCTCCAAGGCCTGGAGCTCCTCTTGCAAGTCCTCCCGCTGGAGGATGAGGCCGGCGGTGCCATCCTGCCGGGACTGCGACAGGAACCGACTGACCCATGCCGGGAACTGTGCTTCCACCTGAAACGGTGAGGACAGAGCTCAGCCCCGGGACAGGGACCCTCTGCCGAACAGGGTGGGGATGGGGAACTCACGTCAGCCCGCGTCGCCTTCAGCTGCTCCAGCATCCCCTCCATGTGCTTCCCCATCACCTCCTGGTCCGACTTGAGCCCGGCCAGCTCCCTCCTCAGCACCGCCACCTCCTGCTCCAGCTTTCCCACCTCCTGCTGGAAGCTCCCCCGCAGACGCTCCTGTGCCGAGCTGTGCCAAGAAAGGCAACAGGACCTTGACGCTGACAGTCCAAATGGTTTTCATGCCCATGGCAATGACCTCTTCTGCTGCATCCCGTGGGACAGCGTCCCCAGGCGAGGGGTGAGCTGAAGGGCCATGTTCCCCACGGTGAGGCAAAGCGATGCTGACAAAGGTTCTTTGCTGCACTCACCCTCCAAGCCCTGCTGCCAGCAGGGCGCTTTCTCACTGACATACGCACATATCCATACGCACTCCCTCCCCAAGGATGTGCCTCTCGACCCCTCCTCTGCCCCCAGTAAACTGGCACCGGGAACCCCTCCTAAGCCTCACTGGGGGGATTTCACCCTAACAGCGGGGCAGCTCTGCCCAGACAGCCAGCCTTACCTCTGCCACTCCGAGTGCAGCTCCAGCAAGCGTGCCTCCATCTCCTGCCAGGAGAAGGGGAAGAAGCTAAGACCCATGATGAGGATGTCTTGCCCGGGTACCACTGCACGCTCAGCCCCTTACCTGAGAAGCTTGCACCATCTTACCCAGGCGCCCATCTAAATCCCTCTGCACCTGGGCTCGGAAGGCATCCAGCTCACCCTGCAAGGGGAGGAACATCAGAGCCCGGCCCCACATGCCCCCATCTCCCCACGTGCCCC